CTGGCAGACTCCTTAAGTTGGTCGAAGGCCTTCAGTGTCTCCACTGTACTCTCATTAGTAGAGAAATCACGAGATAAACCCGCACGGATGAAGTAGTCGCGGACCACCAAGATGCTGTCGTCGTCATTAATCGCATTGAGTACAGCGGCAGGGCTTAGAAGGAAGGTACTGTGGGGATTTACTGCATCTAGAAGATGAAGGGACATAAATTCGAAAGTCTGGATGCGGGTGATGATCTTTGACACCAGGGACCAGTCGCCTTGTTTTTCTTTGTAGAGGTCGACGATGAGGGTGCGAGTCGACGCCTCAAAAACAAAGGACTCTGGTCCAAACGTCTTATTGATAAAGGTGGCTATAAGGGTACGCCATTGCTTCTCAATACCGTGTGCGTCCAAAAAGGATACCACCCAAGGCCTTGAATAGAGTGTTTCCAGGGACTGTCCTGGATCGTACTGAGACCTGAGGAACGACATAGACTAGTGGCAGCGGCCCGTATCTTTTTCACTTGGTCCGGCGAGATACTTTCATAGAAACAATACTCGAGAAAACAGGTCAGTTGAGTCGTAGTAGGTACAGTACGGACATAGTGAGGTTGTGTTGGGCCGCAAACGTATTCCAAACTGTCAGGACCGGCGATAGATTCGCTGTGTGCCTGAAGCAAGGCCTCCGTTGCGTAGCTGTTGCCAGATGTGCGACGCACTCATCGATAAATTCTGTCGTTGCTGATGAGATCGTACAGTACTGCGGCGTACCCCCTGCCGTGTGGGATGATCAATGGCCACCACAGGACTTTTGTCCAGACTGGAATGATCAAGACTGCTCTCTGGAGTCTTTGGTCCATCCGTGCGAGGAGTGGACCCAGTATTGTTTCTAGAGGAGCCATCATGAGATTGGTCTCATCGATCGTGATAATAGTTGATGAAGTATGCCTGGGCTTGGTGGCTCTTGCCACAATAATAACTGTCGGGATAAGTTCGTTCCGAGTGCTCCGGTTGGATCTTCCATTCATTTCTGAAATAACTGAAGGACTTTCTCAGACCGGATCGTCCAATAAAATTGTAGCAATTTGCCTAAGCGGGACAAGTCGTCGGCTGCTAGGTCCAATTTCCCTGGCATGTAACCGAGAGCTACTAGCCAGAAGATATTTTTCTGGTGACAGAACCACACTAGACGCCTCAGTTGCGCATTCATCAAGGATACTTAACTTCTGCGCTTTCGGAGGGCGTGTAGAACCGTACGAACCACAGTAAAAGCACCTGGCCGATTGTGTGGTGGGCGTGAAAGCACTCTTAGGCCAAAGTCAGTGCCTTCAGCTTCAAGACTGCTATGGGCCATAGGGATAATATTATTTATTTCAAAAATGGCAAGTATGTATGAAACAATGTATGAACATATGGTATGGCTCTCATAGTCGCTGTAGTGGTTCAGGAAAGATTGATGGGAAGAAGTGGTCAGTAAATTCCCGTTTGAAGCTTGGGCCAAGTGAGTCGACACTGGAAGATATGTGCTGAGTCAATTCGGGCCGGTGTTGACAAAACACTGATACTATCGAATGTTCCATATATTCGCTTGCTGACCTACTAAATAGAGTACCCACCTCTGTGCTACGGATCGGGTCTGCGCCGTGTAGTGCCGCGGAATGGGTTAGTGAAGAGTACGAAATACCGAGAAGGACCAGGACTCCGTATGACACCATATACCGGCAAAGGTGAAGGTGGTTTGGTGCCAGTATAGCGCTGTGCCGTAGCCGGTCTTGCAGAAGTTCGATGTCAGAGTGGCCTGATGAACTGGTAGCCATATTCCTCGCGTCTCGAATATTGCGATTGATGTGGCTATTCGTTCGATCATCTTGAGAGAAGCTCCTGATAGGCGTATCGCCCGTGCTCAAGTTCATTGCGTCGATCGTTGTAGGTCGGCGAGGAATGGGCGAAGTTTAATACGGAGAATGCGCCCCACTGAAGACATCCGCAGTATGATTGCCATAATTGAGTCTGGATCATTCGCTGGTTGCGCAGGGCTGTGAACGCAATATTGGCTCCCATCGTGAGTAATTTGGTCTTGAGCGCCGGTGTCATCTCGATGGTGTTCTGAACTAGATCGATGATGACACCGAGGTGCTGTAATCAGGATACTGGGTACTCCTAATATACCTTCCCTGGAGCCAACTCCAATCCCGCTTCGTTCAAAAGATTATCGATGAATCACTTGTGACGCATGATTGTTGTTGGGCGTCCGAGGAGGAGAAGATCGTAGACATACAAGATGATTCTGATCCCCCTGTTCCTGGTGACCCGTCTGAAGACGTTCATCAATCGGGAGGGCGAGGAAGCACCAAAGGTTGTTGCCCTACGTATTAGTATTTATGTACATATTTATAAATGCGACTATATACGTTAGTTGCTGATGTATCGATTTGAAGGCTTTTCGTTGTTTACTATTTACGTACTTATTGGTGCCTTGTCATGATTCATGAATATGAAAATTGAAATATTAAAAAAAAAACAATGCATATAAAGCAAGCTTTGTGAGATGGGACAGGGAGAAGTCAGAAGTGGAGAATATTTTAAATTGATCAATGAAATGAAGGAATTTTACTGATAGTGTGTATAAACTTCAATTTAGAAGGCTATAAATATTGAATTTAAACTTTCACCATTTAAAAGCAATGACCTTAGCCAAACAGAAACGTCAGGTATTTATTTGTTTGATTGCTTGTTTTTACAAAAAAAACACCAACAGAACAGTGGCTCACAGAGTCACAGCCCACAAAATCTACTCTACAGAGTACTGACTACACTCATAATCTGAGAATCACCATGATGCGAGATCTCCTGTGAATTTGAATTTTCACGGGGGTCGCCGAAAGTTGCTGTGAAGGCGGGGGTATATAATTACAAAGGATTTGTGGAATCGACAATATAATACATTTCTACCTTTTTAAAAATTGATTTGACAAAAACAATATACATATATTGTATTGGATAAGAGCAATAAAGTTGCGGGGTTCCAGAAGTTGCTCTTGATTTTTAGAACCGTTTGAGTTGGTAGGTTGGTATCAAATTGAAATCTATCATATATCATATTTGTGCTACATAATTGGTTTGTTTTGGTTTTGTAGAAAAAAAACAACAACAAATAAATATATAAATCATAGCCTCCTGAAAAAAGAACAAAAATATGTGTAATTTCCACGCGACTATATATATATATTTATATATATATTTATATATATATATATATATATATACAGATACAAGTACAAATTCATACCGATATTCATATAAATATATATACATATATATATATTCATATATTCATGTATATATACATATATATACATATTTATTATATATATATATATATATATATATATATATATATATATATATATATATATATATATAAATATATATAAATATATATATACATATAATAAAACTATATATATAAATATATAAGTATATTAATGAATATATATATATATATATATATATATATCGAGAATCGATAACTAGCAACGTGCGAGCGCATACAATTCATCGTTTCCTTCCTTTTTTCCTACCGAAAACTGTGAGTCGATAACTAGCAACGCATCTGCATGTTTACCTTCAGAATAACACTATATATACAATACAAGATAATCATCGTATTATCGTACAAGTTAATTCTACGCTATCGGATCACAGTCAACGAATATGGAGGCAATAATGAATGGTGTGGATACTTTTAATACACAGCGGCAGTCAGAATCAACTGATAAAAACCCCACCATAAATCTGACAAAATACGCCGTAAGCGGAAAAAGTAGGCGTACGATGAACGTCCGTTTGCATGTCCCCACTGCCGCCGCACCTACGCCTTCGAATTATCGCGAGATCAGGTACTGCATCTCTTGAGTTTCATTTCTGTGTGGTCACCACGAAGGGACTTGTACTTCCAAATAACTATCATATTTGGTGTTAAACAACCTGCGAGGTAATCATTGCTTACCACAATTGTATTCTTGGTCTAATATTATCGGGTGATGAATCCTTTTTTCTTCCCCGATCACAGCACATCCGCCTCAAACATGTCAAATATCAGCCCAAAATGCGAGCTATTTCTGAATCTGTTCTTATCTCGGGTAAGTAGCTTCATGGTGTAGCTCCAATGAAAGCGACGCTGACATTTTTAGCCTTGATTGGTCAAGGATTCAGACCTCGATGGTGCTCACCAACTTTTTGCCTACAAAAGTACCACCGTGTGATTCCTCTATCACCATCAATGTGTCATTCCGTTCTATTGCTCTGAGCCAGCCATCACTCAAAAATCATCTAGTGATGCAGTTCTAACAGGACTGAGTCTGGCCAACACTCTTAGGTATTTATGTGCATTTACTGCATCATGAAACTTGACGTGGCTGTTAAAAAATATACATGAATTTAGTGGTGGGTTTCAAGTGGGATAGGATAAGTGAAACTACTTGAATAAAAAATTAGTTCTAGTGTGCTCGCTATTCAATTTAATTTTAATATAATCTCGGTATCCTCTTCTCATCTCAACCCTGCATATCTGGAGTCCGTCCAAGGACATCTGCCATCGAAAAACAAACTGTCCACGCCATCTGCAAACTGTATTGAAAGTCAATTGAGATATAGCGATCAATCGATTTTTCGTCAACTACACGCCGCAAATGGAATAGCCAACGTGCCGTTCCATCAGCAACTTACAGAAAAGTGTTCATATATACTGGGCGAGCAGAACACAGATACTTGCAGTAAATGGCAGCGAATGAATCAACACAGCGATCATTGGGGATTGCCGCAAAAACAGAACACAAGCCACTCAAGGACAACATCCTCCTTCAACAACGAAACCTTTTTGCAACTAGTATGGAGAATCTAGGGATTAAGAATTCTGGCACGTCAGTATTTCCAAATGTGAGCTGCAGTAGGCAGTACGCTAATGTCAGGTGTGCTGCAAGCACAAGTAAATCAGGGGGCGACAAACGCAGCGCCTCTTGCCCCTCAATTTGGGGACAATCCATGAATGAATTAGAAGCTACAGGACGTGAGAGATTGCGCAGAGTACTAACACATTAACACAGTACAGTCGAGCAAACATCACCAATACACAGGTACTACGACGTTCCCTACCAGACAGCGGAAAGCCGTCACGCACGACTTAAGATGAGTTCAGATGAGGAATCGGTCATTGAGTCCACTAGAACACATCTGGAGGATCTCTTGACTGCCGTAGGACAGTCAGGGCTTTCATATACACCGAGCATCAAGGAAAGAGCTCAGAAAAGAACTCAATATCTGGTAATGAAAGTGCCCCGCCGTTAGATGCACAGCTCTTGGTCCCACAGCACCGCACCCAGCGCCAATATCAATAATGCATCGATGCAGATACCATTAACTCGTACAGACTTGTGCACAGGAGAGTTTCGGCAGAATAAAAACCTATCGGTGAATGGAGACCGATCTGCGTTCAGAAATCGTGTTTTGATTGAAACTTTACTGCGAGATTTGTGTGCAGAGCCTGTGCTAAAGCCCGAGCAAGCTCAGTCGGAAAACTTTTGGAACGTAATATGTGGGCCGGACGAAAATAAGCACACAAACATCTGCCAAGCTGTAGCTGAAGCCAATAAAAATCGTAGAAGACTTGTCACGTCCACCAGCGAAGACATTTTCTCGTCAAGTGGGGAGATTGTGAGATCCCAGGCCAGCACATACCATAGCAGATCGAAGGCAGGTTCAAATCACAACGAAGCAAACAGTTGTTTGAAAAGGGGCAACACTATACCAGCGCACAAGATGTTGCTTGAAAACGGCAGTACTAGAGAAGCAAACAACATGCAGAGTAGGAACAACAGGAGTGCCAACTTAACAAATTTAGAGTTTTACGATTCCTTGGTAGAAATGTACAAAACGAATCAAACGACCCAAGGTTGGCAGCCATAGCTGGAAATTTTATTAGAGGCCTAGTCTGCCGCTAGACAGGCGTTGGAAACTAGTATAAATACCCGTTCTACATCATCTGAAGTTTCTAAGTGCTTCAATATAAAGGCATGGACAATCACAATGCGAATTCAAATAAATTAAGCCCCGTTCGTCCTCTTCTTGACTTTAAGGTTGAGCTCCTCAACACTTGTAATTAAAATATTAGGCGGGAATAGCATCCACACCTTACAGATGTTAATACTGCAAATATGATGCGCAATTTCACGTCGTTTACATCTTAACACGCCACAATATAGATGGAAACAACAAGTAGTACTAAAAAAAGAAAGAATCAATTTTAATTTTTTCCTTGTTCAGACACAGCGACGCCAATCTTCATGCCAACTGTGACCAAAGTTTCCACCGGCCTGCTTGCGGCCAGTAGAAGATCGCTATCAAACTGTTCAACCAATGAGTTACAAAATTTATTAGTGGTTGAGCATACGACCAAATATATATATATATATATATATGTACACACACACACACACACT